TCTGAATAAGATCAAAGACATATGTGAAGGATGCATTATGAGAAAACAGAAAAGAGAAGCATTTCCACAGCAGGGAGCATGGAGAGCAACTAAACCTTTGGAACTGATTCACACAGATGTGTGTGGACCAATAAAGACACCATCTATTGGAGGCAACAGGTACTTACTGACCTTTATAGACAGTTTCAGTAGGAAATTGTGGGTTTATTTCCTAAAAGAAAAATCAGAGGTCTTTGATATCTTTAAAAACTTTAAGACCTATATTGAGAAACAAAGTGGTCATAAAATTAAACTCCTAGATCAGATGGTGGAGGAGAATATAACTCCACTTATTTCCTTTATTTTTTGAAACAAAATGGCATTCATCACCGAATGACCACTAGGTACACACCAGAACAAAATGGTGTGGTTGAGAGACTGAATAGAACTATTATTGAAAAAGCTAGAAGCATGATCAAGAGTAAACACTTAGATAATTCATTTTGGGCGGAGGCAGTGGCCTGTGCATGCTACCTAATGAATAGAACTACCACAAAAGGGCTTATTGATATGACTCCTCAAGAAGCTTAGACTGGTTTCAAACCCACAGTAGGTCACCTTAGAACTTTTGGGTGTTTAGCATATTCCTTCATTCCTGAATAGAAGAGAAGTTAGATGAAAAATCTGAAAAAACCATATTCATTGGTTATAGCAATAAGTCCAAGGCTTACAAGTTATATAATCCTATCACAAAAAGGACTATAGTCAGTAGGGATGTTGTGTTTGAAGAGGGAAAAGAATGGAATGACTCATCAAGCTTTGAAAACAGAGAAGCATTCAATCCACATATCACATCTGTTGAAGAAGGGCAGAAAGTAAGCCAACGGAATCAAGGTGATCATGACTCTAGCAATCAGTTAGACCCTCCCACAACACCTACAACTTTTCAAACTTTTCAGAACTTAAATTCTCAAACAGATTCTACTGAGAGTCCACCTAGAAGAGGGTATAGAAGTCCTGTGGATATATACAATGATCCTAGAAGCTTAGAATTCAATGAGAATGCAGATTTTGTCCTCTTTTGTGATGCTGATCCAATTTCATTTCAAGAAGCATTGCATGAAAAAAAGTGGAGGGATGTTATGGATACTGAAATAGAGGCCATAACAAGAAATGACACCTAGGAATTAGTTGATCTTCCAAATGGTTGTAAGTCAATTGGAATTAAGTGGGTATACAAAACTAAGCTAAATGAGAAGGGTGAGGTTGATAGATTTAAGGCAAGGTTGGTTGTGAAAGGATACAAACAGATTCTTGGAATAGACTATCAAGAAGTCTTTGCCCCAGTTATCATAATGGAAACATTATGGCTGGTTTTGGCTTTGGCTGCACACAACAAGTGGATGGTACATCAAATGGATGTAAAGTCAGCCTTCCTCAATGGTTTTCTGGAAGAAGACGTTTACATAGACCATCCTGAAGGTTACATAAAGAAAGGAGAGGAACACAAAGTATGTCACCTAAATAAGGCCTTGTATGGATTGAAGCAAGCCCCAAGGGCTTGGTATAGCAGAATTGAGAACTACTTCCTAACACATGACTTCACAAAGTGTCCTTAAGAACATACTTTATTCATTCATAAACAGCAAGGTATGATTTTAATAGTTTGCATATATGTTGATAACCTTGTGTTTACTAGAAATTCAAGGGAATTGATAGAAGATTTCAAAGAGAACATGAAAAAGGAATTTGACATGACTGATATGGGGTTCCTTCATTACTTTCTGAGAATTAAGGTAAGGCAGAATGAAGATGGAATAAGAATCCTTCAAGAAAGGTATGCTCAAAATTTGATAAAGAAGTTTAATATGGAAAAGTCTACACCTGCTGTTACTCCTGTAGCTTTTGGGCTCAAGTTGTCTAAAGACAGCAGGGAAGAGAGTATGACAGCAGCTTATTCAGAAGTCTGATTGGCAGTCTCATGTACTTGACTGCTACAAGACCTGACTTAGTGTTTTCTGTGAGTATGCTAAGTAGATTCATGGAACATCCTAAAGCAAGCCATTGGGAAGCTGGTAAGAATATCCTAAGGTATGTAAATGGGACTTTAAACCATGGAATTCATTACTCATATGCAAGTGATTTCAGATTAGTAGGCTTTAGTGATAGTGACTTTGGGGGGGGGGGGAACCTTGATGATGGAAGAAGCACAGGAGGTTATATCTTCAATTTGGGTTCTGGAGCAGTCTCCTGGCAATCAAAGAAACAAGGTGTAGTGACTTTGTCATCTGCAGAAGCTGAATACATCTCCTTTTCAGTTGCTGGTTGTCAAGCCATTTGGTTAAGGGGTATTCTACACGAATTGAATCATTCACAGTCTGGTCCTACTATTATTTTCTGTGACAATAAGTCTGCCATTGCCTTGTCAAAGAATCCAGTGTTTCATAGAAAAAGTAAACACATCAGGATCAAGTTTCATTTTATCAGGGAATTGGTCTCAAATGAAGAAGCCAGGATTGAGTTATGTGGCACTAGAGATCAACTAGCAGATTGTTTTACCAAAGCTCTTCAGCTTGGAAACTCCAATATTATGAAGCATCGTTTGAAGGTCTATCCATGTCTAACTTAAGGGGGATGTTAAAATTAAGTTAGACATATGACAGTTAAGTTAGTTTCTGTCAGACAGTTAAAGTTAGTTATTTTGGACAGACACATCGTTTGGTAACAGGGTATCGGTGAGTGAAAGATTGGGTCGTTTGGCCTTAAGGGTATGTCCCTTGGCTGTGTATTTATGTCTATGTATGTTGTAATTGTGATTTTGATGTCAATAGAAATAAAGAAAGTATTATGGTTTGTTTTGATTGCATCTCTAACAGCAAGCCTATGTTACCTTCTTCCACTCGTCGAAAACCTACAATGCCACTGTCCTCCAGGCTTGGTTGGTGGAGTGCGACTATGGTGTTGACGAGAGAGATGAAATGGTTTAATAGGTTAATAAAAGTCAATGAGATAAAAGTTGAATATCTGACCAAAATATGGTAATAGAAGATATGACTTAAATTATGATCGCGGTTGTTATCTAAAAACAAAAAATTACTAATTTACCCTTTGTTATTAATTAAATAAATATATTTAGTCGTCTTAAATGAGTATTTTATGTGTCAAAATTTTGAGTTCCCATTTCATGAGAACTGATGTAAAAATGATTAGTTTTCATTAAATGCTATGATTTAAATATTATTTCACATATGTTTGTATTCACATGGTGAAAAATTACATGTGAAACGTTTTTTTGGTTCATATGGTGAAACAAAAAATACAAGTTAAAACATTTCACATGATGAAACAAATACATATTAATTTATCACATTGTGAAACAAATTTATGTGAAATAATACTTTAAATCCTAGCATTTGATGGAAAAAATTATGTAAAAAATATTTTTCGATTAGCTCTCAATTTGTAACCATTTCGTGGCTCTCATTTGAAAGGTTATTATGATAGCCTTTGACATGTAACTCAGTTGGCAAAGAACGGTGCGACTTTACCCATATACAAGATAGATTTGGGTTCAATCTCGCCTCCCTCCCCCACATTGGTGTTCTTAGAGGCAGGTTCTGTGTGAGACTGGTTAGAGTTATAGATAATCATTTTTTTGTCCAAATAAGTTATCATGATAATGGTATAATATGAAAAGAAGAAAAGAGAACTAAAAGTTAAATAAACATGAAGAGTATAACTTGTAACATCATACTAATAATTTTCAATTTTCACATTTTGGAATTCATTAAAGGAATTTGACTTTGAATGAATTAGAATGGAACTGAAATGGAATTTGATGAGATTTAACCACGCATTTTGGTTGGTAGGAATTGAAATAGAAAATCTCAAAAACATTGGAATCTCCATCTTTGTTTGGGCGAAGGATGGGGGTGGCAACGGTGACAAAGACATTTATGAGTGGCGAGGGGGTAGTAGCTATGATGACGACAGTAGTGGCATGGTGGGCAATGTGGCAATCCGTGGCCACCCGGGCGATAATGTTGGCTAGGCTCCCTGCCATGCAGAAAACATTAAAATGCTTAAACAGTTCTTTCGTTCTGGAACAAGAATCGGGTTAGGATTAGCATTTACCTAGCGTAGGATTAGGTTAAAAGGGTCCCATGTGGAGTCCTACCGTACATATATATAACTCCCTTTTTTCTGTGCCAACCTACATTATTGACTAACAATGAATGATAAGTAGATATAGAATATCTAGCTTAGAGCAGAGAGTGTTTCTCGAGAGGAAACGGAGTGTCCTTGTATTTTTGTCTTCGACAGGATGGTAGGTGTGACGACGACAATGATGGCATGGTGGTCGGGTGACGGGGGGGGGGTGGAGAGGGTGACATGGTGGGGACAACGGTTGTGACAAAGACAATATTGGCATGGTAGTTTGTGGGGGCACAATGGTGGTTAAATCGATGCAAGGGGATGAAATTCAATTTCTTCACTTATGCCAAAAAGATGATGAATTCATTAATTTGTAAAATTTAAAAGATTATATCCATTTCAATATATGATCCAAACCAAAACTATAGTTTATTTAAAAAAAAATTGATCATTCCAATTCCCTTAAAATCCATTGAATTCTACGAACCAAAAAACACCTCGTCAACCACCCATCAATGGTTATATGAGAACAACCCACTTGCAAATCATTTTGCCAAGGGTTGGCAAAAACAAGCATATGTGGATAAACATCAATGGGGATTATGAAGTAGGTCAACAAGAAAGGCAATTCGAACATGTTTAATGAAAAAACCAAGTTTATGTTTGAAAAACTAATTGATAAATTAATCATATTTGGTAAAGAATAAGCAAACCTATAAATTAAAAGACAGTGTAAGATGACCTGAATAAAAAATATTACAAGCATTTATGTAAAATATAACGGATATATTTGAAAAAAGTAAGTGAAAAAAACACACCCAACAAGCAATATGTAATAGCTTCTAGAAAAGTTAGCGAAACGCAACTTCTCCAATAAACTCACAAGATAGATTGCCAAACTATAATATGGAGGAGATGGTGGTTCAGGAAAAGAACTTATGTGGCAATACAAAAGACCATTCAAGATGTTTGAATAAATTAGCTTACCGGCCTCCAGGACTGAGAGATGCCGAACGGAACAAGAGCATCAATGGACATAATAACTGTTACAAAAACATAGCTTTCGGGAAAATTAACCACGACACTTGTCAAGGAATACTAGGCCATTAGCGAGGAGGCATTTTCGCAATCACAAACACCGGAGGAAAGAAAAAGAAATGTCAAAAGGGCAATACCTACCAAACTGGCGACTGTCTATTGACATGATGTAGCATAAAGTTCCATAAGGATTGAGAGAGGTCTCAATACTAAACCTTTCTACGGAATTTACCACTACCAATTGTTATCAGCAGCAGCTCCTCCTGTAGGAGTCTATTTCAAGTCTTCCCCCCAGTTATCAGCAGCTCCTGTAGGCGTCTGTTTCAAGTCTTCCCCCCAGTTATCAGCAGCTCCTTGTATCGAGTCTTGCCCCCAATTATCAGGTCCTGAAGATGCCTCAGTAGGATATTTGCCCCAATTAACAGATGTCTGAGAGGAGTTTTCGCCCCAATTATCAGGTGTCTGGGTAGAGTAATCTCCCCAATTATCGGCTGCTGTAGGTGTCTCAGAGGGGTAATCTCCCCACTCATCGGCTCCAGCAGGTGCCTGAGAGGGGTAATCGCCCCAATCATCGGCTTCTGCTGCTGCAGGCATGCCCCAATTCTCACCTCTGGGGTTGTTCTTCTCATTGGCACTCCAATCATCAAAACTTGTTTGCTCTCCACCATTCCAATTGTTATACTCTCCTTCGGATCCAACATCAACAATTTCTTCTTTTTCTGGGAGAAAGCAGCCTTTATAAGAGCCATTATCAGCACAATGCCATAGGAACTTGTTCCAATATTCATCCTGCCATAAGATTTAAGAATATGAGCCTCAACCCAATAAATATCAACAAGTGATTCACGTGTTTCAACAAAGCTAAACTCAACTGACAAACATTCAATTCATAAAATGTCAACTCTGAATTTTCAGATCAAACACACTTTAATTTCACAGTTATTCTCCATCTACTGTAAGCTTCAGAAATTTCCATCATTATTAATGTTGACCTTAGAATTCTCAGTCTACCTTTTTTAAGAAAATAATAGTGTTTCAATTAGACAAGTAAAGATCACCTTGCATATTATATGTGGGTTCCCAATAACAATCAACAATGATCTGGCTCGTGTAATGGCAACATTAAAGCGTCTCGGATTACTCAAAAATCCCAAACAATGTCTCTTGTCAGTCTCGTTGTGTTTGATTGTTGATCGAACAGTAGATATGATTATGACTTCCCTTTCTTGCCCTTGAAATGACTCCACTGTCCCAACTTTGATCTCTGACTTGACAAAAGTTTCAAGTGCCCTGTTTATTTTGAGTACCTGCTGCCTGTACGGTGTTATGACCCCAATATCTTGACTCCGCAGCCCCTTCTCTATCAAATTCATGATAATCTCAACTACCTCACTTACCTCAATCCTATTAAACCATGATGGGTTATTCCCTTCTCTCTCATCAACACCTTGGACGCCTAGGAAAAGTACCGGAAATTCTGCGTCAGGAAGGAGTTCTTTCCAAGTTAAAGGGTACAATGTATCCTCTTCTTTGCACGAGATTAGATCCCCCTTATAGAACAACTCTGAAGGAAGGAACAAAATTTTTTTGTGGCAACGGTAGTTCCTTACCAATTTAGTCACATAATTCTGATCACCTTCCTTATAGAATCTACATTCACACAGCCTCTCCATGTATGATTTCCCTAAACCATAACTTTCTGCATCTTTAGAAAAAATTACAGGACCTAGCTGCACTGGATCCCCAGCAAGAACAACTGTCGTATTTCTTCTGTAAAAATGGGATATAGGGATCATTGTTTCGGGCTCTGATGCCTGGGCTGCCTCATCCAAGAAGATATGTGTGAAGTGGCCAGCTTGAAGGCCTTCCGCATACAGAAGAGCAGCACTTGTATAAGTCGATATTACAATCCTATACTTCACAAGTTGTTCAAATATAGGACAGTTAAAGACACTCTCTTCCTCGTTAATACAACAAAATTCCAGATAATCAGATCGGATATCCTCTAAAGAACGAGCTTGTGCATTGAGCCTCAACAAGTGCCCCTTTCGGATTTTTTCAGCATTCTCCATAACAAGTTTCTCTAAGATGTTATCTGCAGCACTATTTGAAGGTGCACAAACAAGCATTCGGGTATTCCTTCGAGTTGTGTAGAGCTGAAGGATAGCTTCAGTAAGAGTCACAGATTTACCAGTACCAGGTGGACCATGAACAACATATGGAGGGCCTCCTTTGCAGCCAAGGATCATCTCAACTGAACTCATTTGCTCCTCATTGAGCTTACAAGAGATTGGAACCAATGGAGAGGTTTCAATGCATCTAGAATTTGAAGAAAACTCAGGGAAGAGAAGTTCTGTATCTAACTTTCCTGCAGCTTCTACTGCCTGGTATAATCTTCGCATGCCCAATCGGTTATATTCAAATTGTACATCATAGCGATCACCTTCAGAATGGTAACAGTGAAGATCATCGTGAAATGATAGGTGAATCTCTTCAGCCTCAACACGTAAGATGTGCCCCTGTAAAAGAAGCTGACCTACTTCAGAACCACTATAGATACCATTAAAGCTTATCTCAATGTCTAAAGATGGTAAGAGGGGGTACCATAGGAATTTTAAGCTTCAGTCCTAGAACATGCAATGATATTGTTCCTCATTTTGGGGTAATATGTGAAGGTTAGTTTTACCATGTGAAACAAACCTTATACAGGGCAGACATGTCTTCCTTCTGATATGTAGGTTTTGCAAGAATGAAATCTCCACAAACGAGTGACGGTCTTCTCTCAGCCAGTCCTGGAACTTCAAGAGCCAGGCACCCATATTTTCTCTTCAGAGCAACACCTTGCATGTCATATGTTCTCATGTCATCCTGATAGGGAAAAAACTCAAACCATTTTAGATCTAATAGAAAACATATCCGGGTTCTTAGAATGCTTTATTCCACTCTTTGATGTTACCTCTAATTTTATTTCTTCCATAATAAGCAAGGTTCTAAAGAAAGAGACATAGCTCGTTCTTGTTAAACCTTCGATTAGCGAATCAGGAGTCGTCTTACTTTCAATCATATCCCTAACATTCTTGGGGATCGGATATTCTGGAAGCTTATATCTGTATACTCGACCAGAAGCCTTGGCAGGACGAGAGCCCCTGATTATTTTGATGCCCACATTATCCCCTCCAGGGGAAAATATTCTGGGGAGCAATGGCTTGTTTCTCCTTGGTCTGTTGTATGGTCTGTTAGAAGTCAAAGACCGTGATATCTTATCTTCAGCCATGATAAAACCCATCCTCTCTATCCTATCATCATCGACATTAAAGTGAACAGCCGTTGTGTGCAGACCCTTGACCATTGCTTTGCACGATAACCAAATTGTTAAGGTTTTACCAGCTTGCAAAGTCCTGTCCTCCAAGGAAAATGACTCGACAAATGATCGGATATATTCCTCATGTGAACCATGTGAGGGAGGTTCCATTACTGAGAGTGTAAATGAGTCCTTTGGTTTCGAGTCATATATCTCAACTGACCACAGAGTTACTGCATCAGTGGTTGTGTTCTTAATGGTGATAGAATTAAATGTAGTTTCACCTACGGCTACGAACTGAGGCTTCCCTTCGACTAGAGGAAAAGGAACTGATATGATAATCGGACCCTCATTCCCTGGATCATAATCATAGAAAGATCCATCATTTGCAAAATCCACATTGCCAATATCCCCATGATCACTAATGGTGGACCTCGTTTCATCATCGTAGTTGACTGAACCCATTGTTGGATTTTGAGAAAAGTGAGCTGCGCCTTCAGATTTAAAAATAATTTGGTTAGCAACTGCTATTCGTTAATTTGAGAGGATAAAGCTATTACGCACTCTTTCAAGGGTGGCTGCGTCTAGGCAAACCTGTAAATAGAAAACTTAACATTGCTATCACACAAATTGAAAAGCCTAGAAATTAGTCACTACCTGAGCCACAGAAGATGCTTTTTGACCAATAGCTACAAAAATCAAGAAGGATAGGTGCAGAGACTCGATGAAAGTTGTTCTAACTAAATGTGTCATTCTTGGATAACAAAATATCCGGCAAGCTAAATAATCCATGTATGACAAAAAGGAGTCCACCTCACACTTTTGGGTACGTTCAAAAACATTATCATGGGGGTATGTTAAAAAATCAAATTTGTCTTGATGAACTGTTTCCTTCGGGTGCATTTGGTTTGCAGACTGGATGGGACGGAACGGGACAGGACAGGCCAAAAAAATTAGTCCCATGTTTGGCTTGATATGCAACAAGGACAAGGTGGAAAAAGGTGGGACTAAATATCATTTTCATGGGACAAAATCAGCCTTTTTCTTGTTCCACCAAAAAAGATGAAACAACCTTGGACTAATTTTAAAATAACTTATTCAAACTCCTCCAAAACAAATTCTCAGATCGAACGCCTAATCGAACCCTCCCCTCCTCCAAACAGATCGTACTATAAATTTTCCCTCCCAAATCGAACCTCTCCTTCCAGATCTGTGTTTGATGATCAATGGGTAGTGGTGGAGGAAGAACCTGGAAGATGGTTTAGTTTAAGAAAGAAAGAAGCTGAAAGATGAGTAGGATGATGATATTGTCGCTGATGAAGTCTAAGAAAGAACAAAAAAGAAAGACCCATGGTGGTGGTTGAAGAGTTCTTTTTTTTCCTGATGAAAGCCACACATGGGGAAGGAGTTGAGCTTTGATATGTGGGGTAGGGGATTCTATTGGATTTCCAATTTATTGGCTTTTTGCATATATTTTTAAATAATAATTTACATAAATAAATTACAAAGTATGATTTATGTAATTTACTTTAGCTTTTATAAATAAAATTATTTATATGTTAATCGATTTGTATCATTTATAACTATTATATTGATAAAAGATATCAAACAACATTTTAGGGGAAATCTAGTCATTTTAACATTTTTGTACTCATGTTCTAGTCGTACCAAAAGCAAAACATACAATTAGTCCTGTCCTGTCCCATCCTGCCTGCATGCCAATTCCTACCTTGGGGACAATTGACAAATAAACATCATAAAGCTGAATATATTTAGGACCAAGGAAGTAGAAAATAAAAGCTTATTTAATTTTGCCCAATGGAGCAAGAAAATTGAACTAAGATTTCGTAGAAGATACTTGGGGGTGGCTATATGATTCTTCTCCCAAACACCTATTCTTCTATCGCAAAAAGCCTATTTATTCTTACTACAACAGCAAGTAGATAATGCACATGAATCTTGCCTATCAAGTGTGAAATTTTTTGTTCTCATAACAAAGCTAGGATGAAATCAGGTGATGACTGTGAACTATGTACGTATAAACCAGTACATGTGGACAACACGAATGCATTTTAAGATTGTATATAAACCTCAGTGGCTATGTCATAAGCTTGTCGTCAAAATCCAGGTTCGTCAGCAAAACATAGATAAGATCTATGAACAATGATATTAATAACTAGAAGCTCACATGATTTTTGAACACAATATATTGGAAGATTCTAAATAATAAGAATATGCAATTAGTGTGGTTTAATAGGCAGCAGTAACAGGAGTACCATACCCATTTTCGGAGTAAATAAAAAATTATGGGAATAAATGCACATAACAATAAGTCAATTTGATGCAGTAGCGACGAAAATACACATGGGACCTTAGAAAGAAGAAAAAAACAAATAGATTCCACTTTCATGATATGTATAGGGTTAGGTTCAAACGAGAACGGGGTTAATTTACGAGAACGCCTATATCACATGTGATTAAGAAACGTTCAGACCTCCAAGGTCGCTGGGCCAAGAGCTTGCATGCCCCTGGGTTGATTGTTCCGTAATCGGATGTGATTTTTAGTATTAAATAACATGTGATATAAGTGCTTTCGCTTTCTGGTAAGTTGACCCTGTTCTCATTTGGTCCTCCTTATATATATACATATATAGAGGGAAAATCAAATACAAATCCAATAAATGTTACAAACTTACAAACTGGTTTTCATGTGTTGTTTCACATGCAGTGTTCTTACATTGTCGTTTTATATGAGAAACGTTCAGAACTATTATGCGGAAAAAACATGAAAATACGTTTATACATGAAACATACACACTACATACGCACAAGAAGAAAACATATGAAACAATATGAATCATAACTTAAAATCAAATTCACTGAATGGTTTGCACAGGTTTGTAACATTTATTGGGTTTGTATTTGCCTATTGGTCTATATATATAGACACACACACACACATAAAAGTTCTGCCAATTCTGTAATCACATCCAGTGATATAAATTTTGCCATCTCACTCAACAACGGGCTAGACTACAAAGTACCAATATAAAGTTGGTTAATCAAATATAAAATGACTCTGGATCCGCTAGCACCAAAGCATGGCTGATCACCTTAAGTGATCTGTTATGAACAGGTGAAACTACATAGAAGTCAAAAACACATTATTGGATGATTAGGCTTTGCCTAGCAGAAATGAAGATGGAAAAACATAGGTGCCAACTTCATCTAACAACTACAAAGCCATATAATAACCTACAGCCTTGTTTAACAAAAATGTCAAACAGAAAACACACAATAATGGATCCTATATTCTCAATGATTATGAAGATTTCAGCAACATTTTCACTTTGCACATCCCGTTGAATCCCTGAATTGATGAATCCTTGGTTTTTTATAAAATCTTGAACTATCGTGTATCTGGTTACAGCATAAGTCTCTTAGCATGGAGAGAGCTAGGAGATAGCGGTATGGGATTGGAGAAAGAAGTGACTGGTAGGTCTCAATTGCAACCATATACCTTTGTTTTCTATAAAAAGACATGATTGTTTCACAACTTGGGTTTAATGGTTAAAATCACTCTCTAAGAAACATACTTTCAGTAGTCAAGAACGACAATGCTAAGATATATACATATAAAACCTAAAACATCAGGCGAACAAGTTCACCTTAATTATAACAGAAAAGAAGAAAATTAAAATTGCAAATTACGAAGAATGATCCTTGCCAGTTTCAGATCTTTAAGTCATGATTACAGTCTTTTTAACTTTGGATATGCTAGAAATTCAGATTCAATAGAATATCAAAACTCAAACTCGAATGCAAATTAAAATTCCCATAAAATTATGATCAAAACTGTCGATTCATTATTTTACTTGTTTCTGGAAGCATGTATACGGAGCGACATTTTTGCGAGGTAATGTAAACATGTACGAAAAAACCCTAATATAAACTGTGAAAAATGAGAAACCTTTTGGGAATTGGTCGACGTCTTCTTCGCCAAATCGAACCCTTTTTTGCTTCTATGTCTTCAGATTCATTTTTTATTATTGATTCAACTACTGAAATCGCGTGAATTTTACAGTAAACAAAAAAACATCGATGAAACTAGGGCTTTTGTTTGTTCACTGTGGAGGGCGAGTTTGGGGGATATGGAGATTAGGAGGTTTAGCAAATTGGAAAAATGGGGTAACTCCTGGTTCGGGAAAAACGGCGAATTTATTTCAAATCGGTCAAAAACTAAGCTTCGTTTGTTCGTAGAATGAAATTCGATGAAATTGGAGTTCATCAAATGAATTTGACTTTGAGAAAATAGAATAGAATTTGATGGAATTTGACCATATCTTGTAATTGCGTTTGGTTGCATGGAATTAGAATGAAATTTTTGACAGATTGAAAATTTTCTGTTTGGTTCACGGAATTCAACTTTGAAATCGAAATTAAATATCAACAAATGACTTTTTATGATTTTTGAATAACGAAATTGGACTTGTGATATCGATAGCTAGTTATCTTGAATCGATTCCTTAATTACATATGTTGTCTACCGATCTCGTATAGATGGAGAAATTACGCGAGAGAGAGAGATAGAGAGAGAGATCACCAGAGATCAATTAGATGAGATGGTAGATGCAACGTTGAATGAATTTGAATTAGGGAAGGAATTTGTCGGAAAGGAATTGAAATCCGAGGGTATTGCCGTGGAATGTAAAATCTGTGAGTGAAGGAATTTATTGGAATTGAAAGGATTCCATCAATTTTATTTCATGAACCAAACATTGTATTTGGAATTTGGTCAAAGGATTTGCCCATTCATTTCAATTTCATCCAAATCCATAAACAAAACAGCCCCTAAGAGTTTGATTAGGGGCGATCTTAACAGGCATGACACGTCTAGATTGTTTATTTTTCACTTATCTATTCTACTTTATAAAGCAAATTTAACAAAAGTCTTAAAAACAACCTAACATGCATTTGGTACAACCTTTTAATGCATAAAATCTTAAAGTCTTAAAAACCAACCTCTAATGCATTTAGTACTACTTTAAAGCACACATAGTTAACCGGGTCTCTCTCTCTCCAAAACGCTCCACTCTCCCATCATCATTCCTTTCCAAACCACGCTCCACCCTCGCTTCCCTTTCCAACGCTTTTCTACCCTCGAAGAACCGATTATAGAGATGACGATTCAGTCCCCAAGGCAACGATTCAGGCGATTGCGAGTGTTTATAAATGATCGTCCCCAAGTTGTGGTAAATTTTCCTCTTCAATGATTCAGGCGATTTACGATTTCTGCTTTTAAACCTTGAGGGCACGATTCTATGGCGATTGCGAGTTCTGCTTTCAAAGGTGAGTTAATTTAGGGTTTAGGGTTTCATATTGAGTTACACATTTTCTAACGATTCAGGCGATTGCTAGTTCTGCTTTTAAACCTTGAGGGTACGATTCTGTGGCGATTGCGAGTTCTGCTTTCAAAGGTGAGTTAATTTAGGGTTTAGGGTTTCATTTTGAGTTGCACATTTACCTGAGACAAATGAAACCCTTTTAAAATTCTAAGTCTTATCTACCTGTTTGAGAGTTATAAATCATATCTACCTGTTTGAGATATAAGTTATTTGCACCCTAGTATTCTCCTACCTGCACACCAAAGAAAAAATGGAAGAGGAGCTCTCAGCCTCTAAAAAATAAGCTTAAGATATATAACAATCACAAAAGTTGGGTCAATGAGAAATCAAAAGGAAAAGTTTCAATCCTATTCCCACACCTTTTTATCACAAGCTGTGACATATGGTATGTATATATATATATCAAGACTGTGTCACTGTAAATAAACATACTTTAGAAGGTGTGTTAATGAACAGATGGTATTGATTTCTGGGTTTTAAGAAAACAATTATTAAGTCAGGAAGGAATGGACCAGATGCAATGCAACATATATATATATTAAGTTTAAGTATATATATATATATATATATATACACTGTTTGAGACTTATGTGTCATATCTACCTGTTTGAGATATAAGTTATTTGCACCCTGGCTGTTCATAACCTGTCATATTAGCACAATCTGTTTACAAACATGTTTCTGTTTCTATTTACACTGCTTCATATTACCCAACCTTTTTTAAGTTTCTGAGTTTGTGTGGTACTTTATGATCATGGTTCCATTTGAGTTTGTTTCTGTTTCTGTTTACAAACATGTTTCTGTTTACACTGCTTCATTTTGTTTTCATTGTTTCTGTCTTGAAGTGAGCAAGAAAAGGGTAGAATAGAGGTCAAGTACTCCATTAAGTACTGAATTTGACTTGAAACCCGAATTTATGAAGTGGGTAGTTTCCTGTCATCTTTTATCTTGGTTTTTATAATTTTATTGATAAAAATGGATTTTTATTTATGCTTCTTCATCCTCAATATCTTAATCTGAAGGTTAGTTCTCTCCAAGTTTCATCATATAGTGGTTAATAAATAGAACATATTAGATATAATAATGTTTTTAAAGCTTAACATAGAACATATTAGATATAATATAGAGTGAAGTTGGGTAAATCTATGGGCTTTTCGAGTCATGTTCAATAGATATATGGTATATATCCTTTGTCCTAATATAAATGATTCTCATGCCATTAAATATGTGTGTTATCCAGAATAAGTTTGTCTTTTTTAGGTTTACGGATTGTCCTAATATAAATGATTCTTATGCCATTAAATATGTGTGTTATCCAGAATAAGTTTGTCTTTTTTAGGKTTAYGGATATGGTCCTGTCACTCTCTATAATAGTCTTTATTTGTTCATTGTGCAGCTATGCTATTAAGAAGAATGAGATTGACAGGGTTGCTAACGGCAATCGTTGAAGAAAATTTACTGTTGGAGCACCTGGATTTGGTTGCTTTGTTTTCGTATTTCATGAAAAACACATAGTTTTAAGAAACTGTTACTTATCATGTTACATCTTTTGAGTTACAAAGTCACAAATATGTATTTCATCTGGATTACATTTTTTGTTTTAGATACTGCAACTTGCAATCAGTTTTGGATCTAAATATCATCCATTGAAACCAAATAAATTCAAAGATTTTCAATAACGGTTCATTTAGTTAATTCTCTTCATTTTGAGGGTCCTATGTCTATTATGTATAGAGATATATATGGAGATATAAGACCTAGAAAACCAACAGATAGTAAGGTTCACAACCATTGTATACATACAAGTAAACATGGTATAATCTTGAAGAATTAATAAGAGTAGGCAAGCAATGCCCATGAAATCGAATGGAAGCATAAGTCCAACAACAAGAAAAACAAAAATGGTAGAATGAAGTAGATAGATTTTGCAATTGTAAGTGGATCTCTTACTCATTTGTACATGATTTCCACAAGCGCCTAAGACCCAAAACCATTTTTTTGACCCAATTTTAAACTACCCCAAAACAACAGGGTTCGGTACCTTTTTATAGAAAAATCGGTCTAACGATTGTTTTATATAAAATGCCATCACTTTTATGTGTGACAATTCTGCATTGTGGGATTTCAGGTTAGTACTTTATTTCAGGATCCTGATTGAAAACTAAGTCTTTTTAGGATTTAGCCTCGATGATCAGAGATCGTCTTGTTTAATTAGTCTGATTAGATCATGTTTCGACGGTAGCTAACCAAGTTAATTCATGCAAGCCAATTAGTCTTGAAATATTTCACAAANCCTGTTCGATCAACTTCAAGGGGCAACCTATTTTTCCAAGATTGACTTGCGATCCGGGTATCACCAGGTGAGGGTTCGGGAAGAGGACATTCCCAAGACAGCCTTCAGGACCCGATATGGTCATTATGAATTTATGGTTATGCCATTTGGGCTAACCAATGCACCAGCTGTCTTCATGGACCTGATGTATAGAGTTTGTAGGCCATACCTGAAAAAATTCGTAATCGTTTTCAAAGATGACATATTAATTTATTCAGGAAACCGAGAAGACCATGAGCGACATCTGAGGGTAATCTTGGAAGTACTCCGAAATGAGAAGCTGTATGCCAAATTTTTCAAGTGTGAATTCTAGTTACAGGAAGTTCGGTTTCTGGGCCATGTAGTTAACAAGAGAGGAATTCAGGTCGATCCTGCCAAAATTGAGGCTATTAGGAATTAGGAAGCCCCGAGAACCCCTACAGAGATCCACCAGTTTCTTGGGTTAGCAGGCTATTATCGGCGATTCATTGCAAATTTTTCAAAAATTGCACAGCCGCTCACAGCCTTAACCCAAAAGGATAAGAAGTTCACTTGGGGAGAGAAGCAAGAAGAAGCCTTCGAGACTCTCAAACAGAAGCTGTGTAATGCACCTATCTTATCCTTACCGGAGGGTTTGGATAACTTCATGGTCTTTTGCGATGCATCGCATCAAGGGTTAGGATACGTATTGATGCAGAAAGATAAGGTCATCGCCTATGCCTTGAGACAACTGAAAGTGCATGAAAAGAACTATACTACTCACGATCTGGAATTGGGAGCAGTAGTATTTGCACTTAAGATTTGGAGGCACTATCTCTATGGCACAAAATGCACCATCTACACGGATCATAAAAGCCTTCAACACATCCTCAATCAGAAAATGTTGAATATGAGGCAAAGAAGGTGGGTTGAATTGCTTAGTGATTATGATTGTGAGATCAAATACCATCCAGGCAAAGCCAATGTTGTGGCCGATGCTTTGAGCCGAAAGGGAGGAACAAAACCGTCAAGGGTAAGAGCTTTGGGAGTCTTGGTGAATACCAGTTTGAAGGCCCAAATCCTAGAGGATCAAAGAGAAGCTCTAAGGAAGGGGAACTTGAAGAATGAAACTCTGCATGGTTTGGAGTCCAAGTTTCAGATAGAGTCTGATGGGGTGTGTTACTTGGGAAATAGAGTTTGGGTACCTAAGATTGGCAATCTTAGATCAACCATTTTGGACGAAGCTCATCGATCAAAATATTCGATTCACCCGGGAGCAGACAAAATGTATAAGGATTTAAGAGCATACTACTGGTGGCCTGGAATGAAGAAAGACATTGCACTGTATGTAAGTAAGTGCTCAACTTGTGCAATAGTCAAGGCCGAACACCAGACACCTTCAGGTCTGCTCCAGCAGCCCGAAATTCCTCAATGGAAATGGGAGCAGATATCGATGGACTTCATAACTAAG